AAACCATGACTAAATGACAGGTTTAAAACGCGTAGTCCAGCTTCATCGCTTTAATTTATTTCCAGTTACGGAATTCGCGTTCAGATTTTGTGCTGCACTTGAAGTTATTTTCACAGATTGCCAGTTCATCTTTTCGTCGAGCCGAAGATCCTATTAACTGACTATTAACTGCGTGAATTTGAGCCAGCACCAAAAAGTTATCTAGTTCTGATATTTTAGCTGTCATGTCCACCGGTTGTTAGATGAATGGTCTACTGGCCACATTCTTCCCCTGTGCATGCTCTGTCATAATTAAATGGCAACAACCTATACACTTATCGAATTAATCTGATTTGTGTTTTCCCCTCTGAAAGACATGACAACAAGGCTTCATGATCTGTTATTAAATTGAATAGAGCTCCAAACAAATAATTTAGACAGTGAGTCACTGCTCGCACTATGGTCAGTAATTCTGCTATATTTATTATTTCTTAAGTTCTGCTTCATTTAGGAATCGCGACGCAAATGATATCTGTTTCTAACTATCATGGTTCAATAGGCCTTTTTTTAGGCGTCGTAGTTGATCTTGGTTTCTCTTTACATCAAAATGACGGTTTCGGACAAAATCAATCATAGTTTGACCACGTTTGAGTAGAGATTGTTTTTTTTCAATAAGTCCCTGACCCTTACCTTCCCCTACCGAGATGATTAAGTTCAGGGGTCTCACCCGTCCAAATCAGTTTACGATTTAAATGCGCTCAAGCAATCATAAAACAACCGAAGCAGTGATGCGGAGGAGTTTGTCACAATCACTAAGGGCAAACTGAAGATCGAACCTTGCTTCTATGCAACAATCACCACGAACAAACTACACTGGTGCTACATCTGAGCCAATCGTTGACCAAAAGAATAGCCAGGTTTGAAAGAGTTGATTTAAGTGTTCTAATCAATCTCGCAAGATCTCGTAGATACACCTCAGATACACAGTTTTCGATCTCAATTTTCAACTCCGAATCTACATGTTTTCCTATTCTTCTAGAGTTTATCGCTGGTCTTCATACGTCATGCTGATAGCCGAAACCTCACTCTCGATATCCAGATCGTCTGTTCCCAGCCACTCAAACTTTTAAGCAAAAAATTTACATCTTCTCTATTTTACTGCATCGTTACTTCCGTTTAGTAACAGCGTGACGTTTCGAACCTCACACCAATAGCATTTTCCGATCGCCGGGTAGCAATTAATATATCATCTATATTTACCTGAAAGAAACGAATCCATCATTCGCTCTAACTCGTAAGGCATATCTCCAAACCCGTGAAACCGTCATAACGTCATAAGCCAATACCTTCCAAGCCAAATACTGAAGTTCCCTTGCTTACTTGCTGCTTCGATGAGCCGCACCTGTCAATATGCGTATTTCAAATCAAAAATAGAAAATCATATCTTTTCCGATAAGTTCCCGCTTATAGCCAGCGGTACATTATCAACTACTTCGATTATATTCGGTATCTGGTATCTCGCGGTGTTTTGCTTATTAATCAGCAGCAATTTTTGTGCCAAATTCGCAAACCCGTCATCGTATATAACACCGACGGTAAGATGAAACCATACTCCGTACATTCACTGAGTTTCAAAAATGACCATCTTTATCAATAAGTTTTCAATCTTTTCAGTAATCTTGGGCAATACCTGAATCGGAGTGCGCCACCATTTCATCTGTATTGGTCGCAATGGTTCCTCATAGTGCGTATGTATCGCAATTTCGCAGCACACCTTCACGTTCAAACATTTCTTTGGACACCTTCAGGACAAATTGAATGAACTTACGTTGTACAGGCGAATACTGAACACCACTGTCAGATTTTGCACCCTTTTCATTGACTTCAATTTGCACTCGTCGCCGAAAAACTCCTATTTACCTTGACGCAAGATATCCTATTGGGGCATTTTGTGGTGGAAGACACTGCTCCCTTGGCTATCCATCCTTCGTACTCAATATCCATAACTATCCGTCCGATTATCTAGATGATATCGCCGGTTGCCCTACAGAAAAGTTTATAATTTCTCCCGGCACGGTCTTAAGTCAAAAACCGGTCACGCACTTTGAATTCGTGCACCTTTTCCTGTAAAATAAATGATACTGGGCTTGTACAATGATCTTGTAACTCTATTTGTCAGCGGCTCTTCCCCCTCATGCTATCCAGAAACTTCTGATTCGCATTGCCAGCTTTATCCCATACTGTCCTGTTAGCTTAAACTCCAAACTGATCAGCGTCATCCTTGTCATCAAATTTCTGGATAACACTCAGTAGTACCGTACAAAATTGTAGGCTGCCTCAACCTCAACCTGGTTACCCCTGACTTTTGGCAAAACATACTTTTTTGTACAGAACTGTTTTCGAATTTCCTCACTTATCATTTTAATTATTGAAACCTACCGCACAATCGATTCTTCTTTTGGTCTAAAATCTCATTTCGGTTCAGATTACGCAGTGCTCCGAGTATTAACTCCATACTCTTTCTCTATGGGTTCTCTGCCAAACAGCGTGAACCTCCGGTTTGTGACCATCTTTCTTTAAGGACACTTCTAGCCAAAAACCACCGTTGGCCCTCCCTGCTTCCCCAAGGGGACAAGAATAACTTCACTTTCAATCTTTTATTCCCTTCACCCCGGTTTCTCGCTTTGAACAATCGCCATGTTCTTGCCGTGTTTCCTCTTCTCTCCATGTTGATACTGCCGCGTTGTTTCTTCCTTCTCTTTTTCCTTGCTGCCTCATCTTTTATTTTAACCGCTTCGTCTAACGTGGGATATGAGTCTTCTGGCAGAAAGTTCTCCTCGAATAAAGCTTTATCTACTTCTTCTTTGTTGACATGTTATGGTCCAATCTTTCAATGTTACCGACGGTTTCTAGACAGAGGCGTTCCAAAAGACGCCTTGGCCGCGATAGCCCGATTCCGTTTGTGACTGCGCCATGTGGAACAGTACTCACTATAAGATAGCAATTATAACTAAACGTAACAGATGCTTTCTAATTCTTCTAGAAATTATCGCTGATCTTCTTCCGTCATGCTGACAGCTGACATGTCATTCTCGATATTCAGATCTTCCGTTCCTATAGCCCTGCTCGAAACACCGCTATTGTTACTCAATTCCGGGCTCCCTTTCTTTATCGTCGCCTAGGGGCATCCGACTCTCTAATACTGACCAACAGCCTTTCTACGTTTAAAGTCGGATCCATTGGCGTCTGTTATACTTAGCTGTTCGCTTATTTCTCTGTTAGGCAATTTAGCCCAGACCTGTCTGGTCACGGGGACTGAAATTGATGACTCTGCGCTAATTCGGTCGATAAAATCTCTTCCAGCTTTGTCGATTGCTTCCCGTGTCTTTTGTATTTCGGTCTGAGCGATATCCATTAATTTTATCCAAAGTGGGGTTCTTATTGTTGTTTCTCAAGCGCGCCTCCAGCCCTTGGTCCAACGCTTGAAGCCGAAACCCATCTACAGTAACACCTTAGGAACCATAACCGACGGTACTCCTTTCGTTAGCTTGACTATTCCCCTTAACTTGTCCAACAGCTTATAGACACTCATAAAAAAGACGCGTCATAAAGTAGACTACATTGACCAAACTATATTAAACTATAACTTAATTATATTAACCAATCAGACATACAAAATAAATATATATTTAAATTGTCTTGCGCACGTTTTTCTTATCTCGATTCTGATTGGTTAATATTTGTAGTTGCCATATTTTTGGCGAGTATGAAAAAAAAGTTGCTTAATTATCGACTGCATTCGTCGATAGTAAAAATAAACAAAGCATATTCGACATCAGTTTTCTTCGACATTCTTTTTTTAAATTTCATATTCCCAAGAAAGCGCTAAACGAAACTTATAAAAACGTACTTTACTGCATAACTCAAATTTTACTTGAGTAACGCATCTTTTTGATAATACACGTATTTTCCATTCTGAACATCAAAAACGAAAAAAAAACATTAACCTAAGACAAAAAATAACTGAATGAGAACTAAAAAACGCAACATAATTTTCACATGAAAATTTAACGAAATCATTGGTTTTATGACAGCGCGCTCTAAAAGAACTTAGCTAATGATTTATACCGCCAGAAAAGCTAATTACTCTGTGCGCGTCAAGCTACCATGACGCTCGTTATCAGGGTCGAACCTTATCTAACAGCTGACAAACGCTTTCAGTTCTTACCTAAATTATGGAGCCAATTAAACAACAAACTAAGATTATCACACCGGATGAATCATTATTCGATCTTTAAATGTTTGCACAGAATAGAATTATAAAGCATGATCTTTCTCATTCAGCTCAGCATTTTATTGACCTAACAAATCTGTTCAGATATCAGTTAATTTTCGATATGGCGATTACTACCGTTACAAGGTAAATGTCGTTCAGATTCGGGTTTCAGGTCAAGAAAGCTCACGAAATGAATACGAAAATCTATATATCAAATAGATCTTGGCAGTTGAGTAATTAGTATTTGTTACTTCTGAATGACAAGCCAAAAATGGACAAAACAGCGTGAAAATAATTCACATAATTCACGAGCCAAAAAAACTGTGAAATGCCAAAAAAACTAAGAAAAAGAGATGTCTTAGAATGAAGCTAAAAGAAGTCTTTGCCGATCTTCAAAGATTGTGCTGAACGGCTCCGGCGACGACTAAAAAGGGGTCATATGGTTTCAAAACGCTGTCATCAGGCTTCAATTATACGATAACTAAGCTCAAGTTGGATCTCTAACTATCCCCACTTTGGTACCTAGTAACGAATTGCCATCACTATTAAGAACTAATTCAACGGTCAAGACTATGTGAATTTTGAACCTAGTAACAACTCTCCCCCTTTTGCAAATTGTGGGGGAGTAGTTAAGTTTATCCTTCAAGTTTATGCCTGAAAGAAAACAGTTTTCTGTTAACAATATAATTTAGGATACAGCTGTCTTTGGGAGTGCATAGAAACAGGATAAATGAATAGAACTGACTTTGGTGACTTTGACTACGAGGATTATGTCGCCGGATTTCAATTTGAGGTCTCTGTCTTGTGCGTCTTCGATGAAGTCGTGCACAACCACAGCCTGCGAGTGTTCCTTCCACTTCTCAACCCCAGAGACCGAACTCATCATGCCACTTCATCTGAAAACATATCATTTCATGAGAGTCATTTCATTACAAATGCCATCGTTGCCACAAGGTGATATTGTTTTCTACCTGTTGTTGCCGCTTAAAAAATATTACGAAGCAATTCTATTCTGAAAACTTGTTTACAAAGCGAACTTCGAGAATTAGGTTAGCCAGATGCTGCACAAATAAGCACAGCTGTCTAAAATCCCAGTGCATTTTCTAAAATCCGAGTGCACTTTCTAAAATCGCGCCCGCAAAAAGCACCCATTGAGTCGCCGCAACAAAAGTCCAAAAAGTCCACCAATCATCGACCAAGGCCAAAACACTACAACCCATATACTTAACTATTGCACTGAGGCTTAAACAAGAAGTAATTTAGCCGAAAACACTTGGGGAAAGTGCTCGTTGAGTCGAAAAAATGTCATTAAAAAACTAGAGCTTAAAATATGTGGAAAATCCAAATTTATAGGTCGCCCTGAATCACACATACACAAGCATAAAAAACATGTTCGCTTTTCAAAAAAGTAACAAGAGACGACTAAAACGACTGAATGTAAACCAAATTCGCTTAAGAAAAAACATTTTTTAGCGAACAAAATAAGAGGAAAAAAATAGTGATTGGTAAATTTACAATGAACACAAAAAGATATTTTGAATAGAATTTTGATCACTTCACTGCATGTGAAAGGGGTGATCATTTTTCATAAGTTATTCAAAATAATTTTGTTAACTCGTAACCCGAAAATCTTTATTCAATTTGATCAATTTAATGTCAAGCTTAACGATAATAGAAGGAATCAAAAATATGTTTTACGGTCTAGGCAACTGAAGTTAGAATTATTTTTTTACACAAGAGGTTAAGCTGAATACAAGTTGTATCGCAAGTTGTACACCACTTGCAATACAACTAGATTTAACAAAATGAATGAAGATATTTGCTAAAAAAACATGCCCAAACAAAAGAATGCAAAACCAGCATCGGAACAAAATTAACCAAAACATGGCAAAGCCGAAAATACCTGAGCAGAAACTCTTCAAAACGATTTTTTTAAATTCAAAAATAATTAAAGATTTTTTACTCCTAACACTCACAGGCGCACAAAAATTTTTGTTGCGGATCAAATGATACAAAAAGAGTATACAAGCCGATATAAAACAAGCCGAAACCTGTTAAGCCGAACAATTACTAAGCCGATAAAAAGCAGGCCTAAGTAATTTTGGCCGGATAGGTTTTTAAGCCAAGCAAAAAAAGGAATACGAAGCCGAACAATTAGATCACTAAGCCAATAAAAGGCAGGCCTAAATAATTTTGGCCGGATAGATTTTTAAGCCAAGCAAAAAAAAGGAATACGAAGTCAAGATAAGTAAAATTTCAATTTGCATTTTCAAAAAAAAAACACTCAAAGCAACATTAAAGAAAAAAGCTCGCAGCAAAAAAAAACTTCTTCAAGATTTGGCATCTATGCCGGCAAAAGATAAACAGACAAATAATCGGCCGATAATTTTATATGAAACAGAATTTTTCTCATTTGAAAAAAAAACAAGTCCTGACTTCAACAGCCAAAATTTATGGTACATCTTTTCGATGGATACCAAAATCACAGCTCAAACGTAATATCTTTCCACGCTTGAACCTAATGCGCTATCTTTGACGCCAGTGCGCAAAAAAAATCTACAAATGGTCGGGTCGGAAAGAGAAAAAAGCACAAATGCGCAAATCACTATGACCAAAAAATCACTTGAGCCAATTACTTATCAATGATATCAATGTTCAACTCGAACATTTCGATTACTTCTAAAATTTTTTGAATTCAACTATTCAACCATGCGAGTTTGGAAAGCGCAGCTGCTGCATGCACACTTCAGTTAGAATGCAAGTGAAAATAAAAAAATTCTGATTGAACACAGATAAACACAAACGCGAAGCGGAGCTTCGCAACACGAGATACAACACGAATATAGCATTCACTAAGTGAAAAAAAAATCATTTGAAAAATGCCAAAAAACTACATCTACAAAAGCTTCAAACGTCTCAAATGATTTTCAATTCAAGGAAAATGAAAAAACGCAATCGACAGCGTTAAATATTCAGAACCAACAACTGAACGACAATTAAGCCGACAATACTTTGCTAGACAGACGTCCGTTGAACCAAAAACAAATTTGAAATTGTGGTCATAAAAACATGTGGTCAAATTTTCAATTTTAAGCTTCAGCATTCCTACAAACTCTTATTTTGCTCTTAAAGCGACGCATTATCAGGTGCTTTAGCCAATTGAATAAACCAAAATCAATTTGAACAGAGGCAGAGCGGAGCTTCGCGTCACTTGCGATACAATGAAAGCGTACCATTGCAAGATGGAAATACCTGTGGAAAAAAAGTAGAAACACAAAAAGTTCAATCATAGAAAACAGACCAGAATTACAACCACAACAAAAAAGCAATCTTTAAAAAGCTGCGAGTGACCACTACCACAGCCATCAATTCGTGGTTAGACGCCAATCAATCCGAAAACAGAAATACAGAAATAAATGTTTGTCATACAAAAAGTTGACTAATTTTTGGAAATACGAAAAATTCAATCTCAGAAAAACAGACGAAAAACACAACCACTATTATTAAGCCAGCTTTGAGTATTTTTTGATCGTCCACTAATTCAACAAAACGTGGTTAAACGCCAATTGCCCCGAAAACAAAAATAACAAAGGAAATGGTTGTCACAAAAAATTAAACAATTAAAATTCAAATTTTTTTGAAAATACGAAAACTAAACAACTTTTTTGACGAGAAACAAATACCTAAAGAAATGTTTGCCATAAAACAGTTAACAAATTTTTGGAAATACGAAAAATTCAACCTCAGAAAAACAGACGAAAAACAACCACTAGTATTAATCAAGCTATGAGTATTTTTTTGTGGTCCACTAATTCAACAAAATGTGGTTAAACGCCAATTGCCCCGAAAACAAAAACACCAAAGGAAATGGTTGTCAGAAAATATCATTTTTTTTTTGGAAATACGAAAAATTCAATCTCAGAAAAACAAACAAGAAACACAACAAATAGCATGGAGCAAACTTAAGAAATTTTCGAGCGTCCACTAAGCCACAACAACGTGTTAACACGCCAATCGATTTGAAAACAAAAATACCCACTAGCACAGAGAAAAACAACTACTACCATTAAGCAAGCTTTTAGTATTTTCCGAGCGTCCACAAAGCCAGAAACAAGTGGCTAGCTGCCAATTGATTCGAAAACAAAAATACAAGAGGAAATGGTTGTCATAAAATATCATCATTTTTTTTGAAATACGAAAAATTCAACCTCAGAAAAACAAACAAGAAACACAACAAATAGCATGGAACTAACTTAAGAAATTTTTGAGCGTCCACTAAGCCACAACACGTGTTAACACGCCAAACGATTTGAATTCAACAAAATGTGGCTAAACGCCAATTGCCCCGAAAACAAAAATACCAAAGGAAATGGTTGTCATAAAAAGTAAACAACTTTTTTGAAAATAAGAAAAAACAGACGAGAAACACAACCAGCGCAATTAAGCAAGCTTTTAGTATTTTCCGAGCGTCCACAAAGCCAGAAAGAAGTGGCTAGACGCCAATTGATTCGGAAACAAAATACAAAAGGAAGTGGTTGTCATAAAAAATCAACATTTTTTTTGGAAATACGAAAAATTCAATCTCAGAAAAACAAACAAGAAACACAACAAATAGCATGGAACTAACTTAAGAAATTTTTGAGCGTCCACTAAGCCACAACACGTGTTAACACGCCAAACGATTTGAATTCAACAAAATGTGGCTAAACGCCAATTGCCCCGAAAACAAAAATACCAAAGGAAATGGTTGTCATAAAAAGTAAACAACTTTTTTAAAAATAAGAAAAAACAGACGAGAAACACAACCAGCACAATTAAGCAAGCTTTCAGTATTTTCCAAGCATCCACAAAGCCAGAAACAAGTGGCTAGACGCCAATTGATTCGAAAACAAAAATACAAAAGGAAATGGTTGACATAAAATATCATCATTTTTTTTTTGGAAACGAAAAATTCAATCTCAAAAAAACAAACAAGAAACACAACAAATAACATGGAGCAAACCTAAGAAATTTTTGAGCGTCCACTAAGTCACAACACGTGTTAACACGCCAATCGATTTGAAAACAAAAATACCAAGGAAATGGTTTTCTTTACCAAAATCAACATTTTTTTGGATTTACAAAACCCACGCTGAGAAAAACAGACGAGAAACTCAACTACTAACATTAAGCAATCTTTTAGTATTTTCAAGCATTAACTAAGCCAACAGCACAGGGCTAGACGCCAATTAAAGCAGAAACAAAATGTCAAAGAAAGTCTTGTCATAAAAAACTTTGAGAGATTAAAAAGTTTGAATATCCATTTTTTTAAGACCAGCCGACCTAATCTAATAAAAACATTAATAACAACTAGAGGCCCAATTAAAGCTGGAGGTACCGGTTAGATAATTTTTCAGTTTGTCGTTCTGGCGCCGGATGAAATAAATAATTTCAAAAATATAAAAATTGGGCTTCACCCAGAACCTAGTTATTGCTCTATTTAAATATGAGTGAAATTTCTGTGACTCTAAAAATTTTTTTAAGGGTCATAAATTTTGTTTGAAAAAATTCGTAAAATTCGAAAAACTTCCAAAAAAAACAGGAAATAAATCGAAAACTTGATTTTTCCGAGAGCCATCACTTTTGTGTCAAAAAATTTGGGCAAAACCGCTGATGCAAGGGTGCTTCCCACAACACGCTCTACTCGTTGAGCCCAAAATTTCAAATTTGAAGGGGTAGTTTTTGAGAAAAGTTAAAAAATTTCAAAAAACGGTAAAAAAAATTGAAAAAAAAAAAACATTTCCGAAGGCTCCGAACTTCCAAACTATTTGTGCAAAAAAATGGGTGTAACATTGTATGCAGGGGAGCTTCGCACAACCCGATCTTATCATTGAAACTTAAATCTCAGATAAGGTCATAAGTGATGAAAAAGTTGGGCAAAGCCGTTTATAAAAGGGAGCCTTCCACAACCCGTTCTACCAATTGAAACCAAAATCTCAGATTTGGGAGGGTAGTTTTCAATAAAAGTCAAAAAGTTTTGAAACAACGGTCAAAAAATCGAAAATTTGACTTTTCGGAGGGTCATAAATTTTTGTGTAGAAAAAATTTGGGCGTAAACGCTTATGCAGGAGAGCTTTTACAACCTGTTCTATCCTCCATTGAACCCAAATCCCAGATTTGGGACGGTAGTTTGCGAGAAAATGTCAGAAGTCCAAAAATATAGATAAAAAACCCACACATTTAATCCAAGGCTGTCGAAAGTGTGGCAGGGTAAAAAAAAAGATCCCAGGAAATTAAGCAGAGTCAGGTAAGAGTGCGGACTTCCCATTGGTACCACTTTTTCGAAAATCGATTGTAGTTTTTAAGAAAAACCAAATTTTTTGAAAGCGAAAAAATTTTTCAAAGCGTCTCAAAAAAAACCGGTCCCATAGAGTTTCATAATATTTTCATAATACCAGTTTTTATCAAACAGGAATTTTTTATCTTTATACCAATGCAAAATAACCGAAAAAACAAGAGCCGTTATTACTAGGCCGAATAAAATTTTTAAGCAAAAAAACAGGTAGTGCTGTACATATCAGGTATAGTATCAGGTAAAAAAGTAAATAAGTTAATCATTAACACTTGAGACTACAATGAAAACTGAGCACAGCGGCAAAAAATGTGGGACGGGAACTAAGCCGAAAAACTAAAATCCCGAAAAAATTTGAATTTCAGACACTGAAGAAAAGATCCGACAGGGACCCGAACCCCTTGCATTATGTTTCAAAGGCAACTGCATTACCTCCGGGCCAAAGTCTCACTTTTGAAATAACGTTTCATATGACCCAACTGATTCACGTAACTTTGTTAAACTAGTTGTTAACCCGAAAAAAGTCTTTATTCCGATTTAATAACGCTTGCTAAACGCAAGCTGAACAAAAAAGTGTAGAAAATCTGAGTTGATAAATCACAAAATTGTATTTTTTTTTTTCAATTCGGGAAAATTGATTTTAATCGGAACAATTCCAAGCTAGAAGGTCTTGAAAAAAAGCCCGACAAAAATCAACACTCAATCCAACCATTCACATTTTCAGTTTAAAAAACAATTTCTAAAGAAATCGAATGCAGCAGACAGTTTGAAAAAAGTCAATGACTGCAAGGAAACAGAAAAAAATACTGATTGGTCTTTCACAAATTCTCAACTTTCAAAGAAAAAAATAGATGGCCTTAAAGTTCTTTGAATTTCTAGAACAATTTATGATTCTTTAACTTTTGCTAAAAATTATCCCAATTTGAGAAAACTGGAGTGTTGAGCGAAGTTTTTATTCCGCTGTGAAATCTAAAAATTAAATTCTACTTTCGGAACCAGGAATCGATCACGTAGTATCGCGCTATTTCCTCTTTCGTAAATGAAGAGCTAGTTTTGCCTTCCATTTGGCAAATGAACTTGGATCGAACTCAAAAAGCGCACATATACCTAAGAACAATTACACTTGCATCAATAAGTATGAATGCACTTCTGTAGTTTTTTGAGAGCAATTTGAGATTTTTCCACGAAAAAAAAAACTGAAAAAATCATCACGAACTATATAAAAATCTGAACTACGTGCATCAACTCTTGCAAAACAAAATAGGGTCTGACCGAGAGTTGAACTCCAGGCCTCAAAAACCCAAGGCACGCCTATACCAGGTGGAGGCGATATTATGCCTTGACCATGTCATTGAGGTTTCATAAAAACAATAATAATGGAAAAAAAGTCAACTTCCCGATAACCAGCACACGAACTCTAGCAGGAGAAGAAAGAAACCTTTTACTTAACTGCGTCAATAATTGCAAAAACAACTGACTAAATGTTCAAATGTACAGCAATTATACGAAAAAGATTAAAACAACCCATTATCAACAAGGAAAAATTGCCACCAAAACCCATACCTTTCGCCCCCGCAGACCTGTGGCTTCGGGCGATGGATGCCGCCAAGCTCCTCGACCTAGAATCTTACGAGAAAAACACAGCCAACGTGGAAAGAAAAGTTGTTTACAGGAAAAAAGTCTAATTCCCGCTTACAAGACAATTGCTATCGCAAGTCAAAAGTAAATTATAATCTTCAAGTCAAGCAAATAAAGTAAAGGCAGACAAAAATTCCAAGATCCAAAAAAAATAATTTTAAAGATTATCGCTTTTTAACTTTTACTATCTCTAAAACCTCCTAGGGCAATTCAACGAAAGTCAAAAACGTTTAACAGCTTCTACGATATGACTGAACAGGAAAAAAATGACAACTTTCGGGAAAAGCATGTACAATATTTCAAGAGCTCACATCCGCAGCCCCACAATTAAGACTCAAGCCCTGCAATTAAAATCTATCGTGTTTTTTTTTCGCGCCACTTAAGCTTCTATAAATCGAGAGTGCAAATTGCCTACCTTCAAGAAAATGAGTTTAAATTGAACTCAAAAAGTGCATATATATGTGCATTTATAAGTATGAATGTACTTCTTTTGTTATTAGAGCATTTTAACATTTTTCTCGAAAAAAAAACACGAAAAAATAATTGCGACCTTTATAAGAGTCTGAACTTTAGATAACCAAAAACCAAAACCATCAAAATCAAAAAATGAACCCAAACGAAATTCCCGAAAAAAGAACCCACACTAAAAAAAATGAGTATTGAGTAAATCCATTAACACTTGGAAAAACTTAGCAACTGCGTTTAAGTTGCTATTTAAAAAAAATAAAAATGGGGAAAATATTGTCTCAGAGCATCATATCACGCTTTTTGATAATAATTACAACAATGAAACAGCTTTCTAATGAAGGAACCATAAACCAGACTACATCTGGCAAAAATGGCGTATAACTTATCCGAGAAACCCCATGCTATGCCATAAAGATTATTCTCCTATTGCAAAACATTTGCACTTCCAAGTCTAGGGTGAATTATTTCTAATCAGTTCGAATTACTTATAATTTAAGCAAATTTGAAAATATTATGTTTATAATAAATACTAAAAAAATTCGGTCATTTTTATTTTCCAGACTTTGTGTATCTTGATGGAAAATGAACCGCTTTTTTAAAGTAAAAATGATGTGCCTATCACACGAAAGACTAGGTAGGAACCAGCCGTGTTGGAGCAACAACGCATATTTTTAATGCTCAGTTAATTTGTTCACATGTAAACTTAATAAAAAAAGCATGTTGAGTTTTCCAGAACTTATTCAACTATTTTCCCGCCATTTGTAGCAACTAAATCTCTATAATTCAATTTTGGTTGGAATCAGTCACTCTTTAACTATTCTGAAGTATTCAAATTCCTTGGTTTTTTTCTGTCACGCAAAGAAGAAAACGCGTGTTGCCGCGCAAGGAGCACTGAATCTTGCGACCAGATATTTTGATTAAAACAATTGAACAAAAGCAACGACAATAATATTTTCCTTCTATTTTCAACCTTTTGTCGTTTTCGTATGCGAATGTAAAGAGGCACTTATAGCTAGCTAGCCACTCGAATAAAAACACTCCCCGAAAAGCTAGCCACTCTAAAAGCACTAAAATCCAAACTTCCTTCCGATCTGGCTTCGGGACAATATCCCGCTGCTTTCGTACCAGAACGATCTTTGGATAAAAGTCACCAACCAAACTGTCAACCATCTAAGCAAAAATATTCTGCATTTTTTTCAGAATAGTCTATATTTGCTAAATTTGTCCAGTGTTCATCAACAATCTAAAAATCTGGTCAATTAACGCTCTGGTTCTTATCATACTAATTCTAGAAAAAAGCAATAGGTAACTTTGTCAAAAAACTGAATTAGCAAGCGTCAACAAGCCAAATAAAACTTAAAAAAAACTTCAATCGGAATTCGCTTGACGTCTTCAGCTGTTTTGGCACGCTATACAGCCTATTTAAAACATCTATTCGATATTAGAAGTGCAATAGAGGTCAGTAAATCCTTTACTTAATAAATTATAACTATATCTCTGAACCAATATGATACAGTTTTCTATCAACCCAACAAATTTCATCTCTTAAAAACTTTGCTTTCGCAAAGCAACCTGGAACGCAGCGAAATTAACTCTTTATCAATTGCCATGACAATTTTGCAATATTCCAGCCGAAGGATATAAAACCTTGGAAAAGGTTTGATGGTTTAATTACCCTAGCGTGCTGTATAGCTTAAAGTTCTTGATGTTCCTGTCGTTTGTGGTGAATGGTCATAATCCAATCAGCGCATGGCTATGACTCGAGGAAAACTGCTTTTAAAAGGATAAGTTAATTCATCATTATAAACTACATTGCACTACTTTGCTTGTACAAATTTATTAGCTGGATGATGATTACACTTCAAATATTAGCTATTAAATATTCAAAATATATATTCCGAATAAAAATAGGATTAAATTAGTCATGATTTTGGCATAAGCGTCGCTCATTTATTGCATCAATTGGCTATCTTATTGGAGAACTTTGGCCACTATTGATTAACCACACAAAATCGTAATCGGTTTTAAGGTTAAAAAAAGGAAGCCAAAACAGGCGGTTGACGATTTTCCATTAGAAGAGTCGCTATAGCGAGACGCAAAATATTGTTCAGATGAAGGAAGACCATTGAGACAATTTAATTGCACCATGGTGATAGCAGGCCCCGGATTACAGGCACTAGAGATGGGCACTTCACTTATAAGTTATAACTGAAATTATTGAGCTGACTTCTAATAACTACTAGCTAGAATTTTGTGAAACTCGTGAGCCTAGGAAGTGACATTGAGGTCTGCATGAGGCAACAGATGAGGTTAACATGCTACACATTCAGCATATCTAAGCATTATCGACCATTTTCGGCGCGAAATCAGTGCGAAAAGAGAGAAGAAGGTTTGATGACAAGCAGACGTCTAGTTCTCCATGTATTGGGAGTCGATTTGCAGGCTCGAGAACCACAGCGAATCCATTGAAGATTGTTCTGAAAACCATATTTATAAGTACCAAAACCATGACTCATCTTGGTATACATTTCATGCAGTATAATCACGTTACGTATACTTTTCAGTACTTATCATATAATTAAGTATAAAGAAAATTGCCTTTACAGCTAGCAATTAGAAATAAGTTAACCAATCCATGAGTCACACAAAGAACTCTGGCGCGCGTCAAAAAAATAGTGATGAGGAGTTCACCACGCAACAGAAGTAATGAGTGCACCACATGAAAATTATTTCTGTTACCCTCAAATTATTCTGGATGAAAAGGACTGGTCTAACAAAAATTCTCGTTTAGAATGCAATTGCCCAAAAATAAAAAAAGAATCATATCATCACAGAACCGATCCGAACTTATTACTACAAATTTAATATAAAACAATAAACCAAAATAGTAAAATACCTTTTTGAAATGCATAAAATATTGAACTACTATGACATTTCATAACTTGAACTGCGGTTGGACAAACATAGCAAAGTAACACTGGTAAAAGAAGAGCCATTGAACGCAAAAAAACGTCAACTTTTGAAAATGAAACAAAAAAATATATGGCCTTTAAGCAAATTGAATGTCAAGAGCAATTTACAATTCGCACGATTTTGATAATTTTAACCCTATATCAGAAAACTAAATTATTAGAAAAGTTTGTATCCGTCGAGACTAAAATTCCACTTAAGAAACAAAAGCAATCAATTTTTGCGATCCATTACAGCTTTCAAAGCTGGAGAGTGCATTTTGTCTGCCTTCTAGCAAACGAACTTGAATTGAACTCAAAAAGTGCATATAAACCTAGGAGTATTATCTGTACATTCAGACATTTGAATGCACTTCTTTTGATATTACATTTTAAATTTTTTCCTGAAAAAAAATATTAAAACATATCACGACCTATACATGAATAACAAATCTGAACTACATTCATCGACTCTTAATCACTGTTTACTCAACCAAATACTAAATTAAGTCTGTTAACAATTTTTGCAATTATTTAGGCTATTATAGGTGTTGTAAAGCTTTTAATTATCCCGTTAACACTACTTTTTGAAGCATAAATTAGCCCTTCTTTCGCCAAAGAAAATTTTCTAAAAAAAAATATAGAATTCTTGAAAATTTTTTTGTTTGAATTGTTTTGCTTATATTTTAATTTATCTTTTAAAATTGTACACATAACTTGGCACAAACATTTCTATGGCAAAAACTTGGACAAACATAAAACAAGGATTATTAAGATTCTCTAAATAATGTTGTCGGAACTTTGTGCTACTTGTGCAGCAACTGTCTAATCTTGCTAGTCTTTGATTTTATTTTGCTTTTGAGGTTCATTTCAAGTTTTATTCTAAATTGAATAAATATGTGTTGGAAAATTATCAACATAGCCAAATGACAGTTGGAACAGAGTATTGAACGCAAGGAAACTGAAAAAACTGCCTCGTTTTTTTTCAAAAAACCTTCGAATTTTGACGTTCGAAGCTAAAATAGATGGCCTTAGAGCTCTTTGAATTTGTAGAACAATTCATTATTGGCCCCTTTTTGATAAAACTACCCAATGTGAGAAAACTGGATCAATTGGTAAGACTTTTATTTCGCTAGGAAATCTTATAACTAATTTCCATTTTCGAAATTAGAAAATCACGTTTTTCGTGGCCTTTATCTTATGCTGTTTGATAGCGTAGTTTACCTTCCTCTTAACAAAAGAAAAGAAGTGAACTGAAAAAAAAAATCAAGTCAAACCGCTAAAATCAAAATTGAGCGTGAACAAGTTTTAAGACTTTTATGAAAAAAACATCACCAAGACCTATATAAGAGTACTCACTACGTTCATTGCTCTTAAACAGCACTAGTTTTGATCCTAGGAGTTTGTAAAAAAAAAGTAAATTTCTCTATTTCACATCAGTTTCTGAATTTTGAGTTGAACAAAAGTAAAAAGATCAGTTCTAGGAAAACGTGACACTTAAGAAACCTATTTATTATTGATGGTTTTTGGGCAATTCAGCTGTCAACTTGCAAAAAAAACTTCTTAGAAAGTCCTAAATGTTTGAAGCTCTAATATTAAAAACTATTATGGTAGATCTTAATACTCACTGAAGCTGCTGGAAGACCAGTTATCGTCTCTGGAACCGCTGTTGAAATTTGTTACCCCTAAACTATTTTGAATATTCAGTCCAGACGACCAAATGTCCTGCACATCCCACTCCATACCATCTCCAAGGTTGTGTCGCGGACCAACTTCCAAACTCCCAACGTCAATCCGTTGTTTGCTCAGATATCCTGACTGCTGACAAACACCATAAAACTTTAAGGCAATGAGAAACCCTATTACGCTCAAACCGAACATCAAAACTGCTATGGCTGCAGTTGACGCAATTAAGATATACAAATTCTCTAATTGGCGTTGTTCAAAGACATCCGATTTCTGCGCTTCCTGGTCAATATTTTCTTGACTACTTTCTTTGTTGGCTTGAATTTTATAACCACTCGCTGCCACTCGTTGGGTACTAGTTCTCTCAGCCGTACAACTTGGAGAAGTGGAACCTCTGTAGTTCTCAACGTCTGGCAATTTCGCAGGGTTGTGTATGTACGCCGTTCTGTAGCAATTCCCTTTATCTATGTCACTTTCAGCAGGAAGAGAACAAGTTATAATCTGGAAGCTGTAGCCCATCCATATATAAGGATCTCCCTGATTCGACCTTGAATGAATTTCAGTCAAAGGTATTTCAACCTAAAACATAAAGGCCACATTCACCAAGCTTTCAAACATGCCATTATGCAATACTAATCATCAGAGGCTCATTAAAGGATGGTGGATGTTTTGCCCCTTCAAATATTTGATATCCTGACGATTCACACAAAAGTCAATTTATACCCAGCTCAGAAAACAACCACAAATGCTAATATTAAAGAAGCTTAAACAACTAGAAAATGATAAGGGCGGATCGCGTCTAGACTCCCAAACACACAAAAAAAATTATGATAGAGAGCCATATTTTTACAACAGTAAAAATACATAACTTCAAAATATATATTTACACAAAATTACAATACGAATTGATAACACTGCAGAAAAAGCGCATAAACAGATAACTCTACAAAAAAAAGTTTCACAGGTACTAGTCCAAGAAAGGGGATTACAAGCCAGACAGCCCTTTGCCCAGCCACAACAATATTGCGTATCACTGATTTCCAATGGCTCCTGCTGCTCGCGATTTTTTGTAAAGGTCAAACAACTCGGCTTATCAAGTATTATTGGATATTCGTAGTGACTTCACGCTCTTTTTGAGTTCGTACCTGGCTGTCTTTGTCCACTTTCCTCTGACTTCTCATGGTGGTCTTCGCTAGGAACCTCCATTTTTGAATTCTAAGGCTGCGTTTGGTAACTCCCACTCGTTTATGATTAGGGTTCCTATGATAACTTTCACTTATTTCACTTCTTTTCTTTGTGTAAGAAAAAAATAAAAAAATAGGTAGCGTTTGGATCTGTTTGAACCTAATATCCTCGTAGTTTGTGAAATAACTGCTTTCAAAAATGCACCCGAGAATAACTTAAAAAAATTATTGATTAAATCAATAATTTGCTGGATGAGAAAACTTTATAACTATGATTAAGTACAGATGCAAAAAATAATTGGGCTAGTCAAAGACGTATCCAGTTTTTATTTACAAAAAGCGCATTATAACGAAATCTACCATGATACATTGCACTTGATTATTCTATACCTTAAGAAAGCGCTTATCGAGAAATTATTGATAACTTTTCATATTAACACCCAGTCTGAAGCCGCTGTGACCCAACGTAACGTGCATTTCAGACAGCACAGATATAAACAGCGGTACTTCCAACCCTAAAACTCAATCATACCATTATACAAGTCCGTATCAGTTTTCAAGTGAAGTTTTTAAAGTGACATACTTTACTTTTTCCTTATTGGGCACTCAGTGGTTTTAAGTACTCCTATGCCACTGTTGCAAAATCATAATGATCATAAAAACAAAAAAAAACTTTTTCTCAAAGAAACAAGAAACTTAAAAAGGGTCTGAAGTTTTGGCTAAAAAAATTTCATTTTATTCTTACTGTAGTTATATTTATCAAAATAATCGAATTTTTTATTATACTGTTCGGAAATATCGAACTAAACCCACGTCCAACGCTTCCATACGACAGAAATTTCAACAAAAGCCTACATTTCCAATCAAAACTAAATTTCTTTCAGATAAAAAGCATAAAGCTCAAAAATCATTTTCAGATAAGTAGACCGGTGAACGATTTCGGCAACAATTGTATTTTGGGTTTAATGAAAGATGGCTATAATCTAAAGACATCTCGAACACATTGACTTCAAAAAAAACCAATTTCAAACTTTCTGTTGCGATAGGAGCTCGGATAACCGAAGTTAAAAAGTGAAGGACCGTTCATATTAAGGCCAAAAAAGCACGGTTAAGGCCTGATTGCAACACTTCTGATTCTCGATTTGAAAATTTTTGGATCGATATTCAAATAAATCGAAGTCAAAAAGTCTTGAACCACTTCAAAAATGCATTGATAAAGCAGCCATAGGCAATAATACGTTAATTCTATTGGTGACTCTAATTTGAATTATGTGAACAGAGATCGAAAACAAAAAAGACTACGATAGTGAGTCCTTACGGTCTATCAATCGTCAAAATTAACACCGTTGTAATTCACTCATTGATTATACTAATTATGACACCAGTTTAAAATCAGTAGATACCTTCGGATTTGACTTTCCAATAAAAATTATCATTTTGCTTTTTTCACAAATGTTTTATTCAGTTAAAACAAAAAAAAAACTAAACACATTTTCGATAAAAACAACTATTGAGCTGATGAAATCCGAAAATTACTAAATGATCAAATCGGTCAAAATTTTGTATGCAAACTGATGCTGACAGTATTATCACGACTGTTTTTCAGAAGGTATTCCACGATCTTATTTTGAAACATGCTCCGATTAAAAGTCTCACGCAGTTTTAAAAAATCTCACGCAGTTTAAACAAAAAAAACTATTGACCAAAAATGTCTCGTAAGAAACAAAAAACCGATCTTTTCACTAGCTAACCAATATGTTCAAAAACCTCACTCAATTTAAACTTGAAAAACAATTTTTGACAAATTTATGGAACTGAAACTTCAAGGAGTACTAGAAAGATTATGATATTTACAACCAACTTATTGAATCAGCCTCATCAGACAGATTAAAATGAAACCTTATAAACGAAGTAAGGACCAGCAAAAATACCGCTTGTGACATTGCTTCGATAAGAAGTTTGTTTGGCAATGCATAAACTGATTTAAAAAAATAATTTCACATTCAGTCAAATAGGCGAAATTATAATTGAACTTATGTCTTCCAAATTTTGTAAAACCAAAACATCTCATCAGCATGGGGATCTTCCTCTTTTAGGTGGGTTAACAGGCATGAAAAACTGCACTTCTTGCTTTGAGGAAAAACAAACTCTTCGGTTCTTGTAAAAAACTTGTATGGGCATTACATTATTGAGCCTGCAAAAGCATCTCACGTAGTTCATTAGTTATTGAATAGCTCGCTCTCAAAAATTTTCTAGATAAAATTAAATTGGCTAAAATTACACCTTTGTGTGAGAAAAAAGGGATACCGAGGATGTAACAAAATACAGGCCAATATCTATCACTCCTAGGCTAGCAGAAATGATCGAGTACTTGGATGAATTCTAATTGATTTTCATTCAAATTTCTACCACAGATGCTCATAAATAATTAACAGAAACAATCAGAACACAAGTCGATAATCAAACACTGGTTGCGAATGCCCCTCTTGACTTATCTCAAGCTTTCGACTAAATTGATCACACTTTTCTGTTACAAAAAATGTACTCATTAGGCTTTGACTCAACTGCCACAATCCTCATTATGAGTTGTTTGACAATCTGACATCAAAAAGTTGTCTTAAGCGGAGCAGAATCAGTTCGCTCAGAGTCGTTCCTAGGACCTTTTTTGTTTGGTCTTTATGTCAATGATATGTACAGAAAGGTTAAATGATATCAAGTAATATGCAGACGATAGATTACTGTTGAGTAAAGGTCAAAAATAGCCAATACAAAAAGTTTGTCAAATAACATCGATAATTTTTCAATTAACTGAATCAACACTCTTTTGAAATCAAACAAGATAAAAATGAACTTATCGTTTTAGGGAATAATTCAAAAAAAATCACAATTGAAGTTCGTGATCAAATTATAAAGGACGTTAATGAAGTTGAACATTCGGGCGTCCGAATTACAACCAACTAGCATACCAAAATCAGTTTACAAATAAATTGCAAAAAATGGCACTGGGTATCAAAAATTTCTACACACTCCGGAAAATTGTACCATACAAATTAAAAATCAAGTCTCATTAGTTGTCTAGTACTTAACCATTTACATTAATTGGCTGTGATCCTGAGTACGATATCAAACAATCTAACGTTACAAAAGAAAAACAACTCAGCTGGGCCGTTAAAGACTTATGGTGCGTTCAAATTTCATTCAACGGCCAACTTAAAACTCGTACATAGAATTTTACTGGTTCGTTTTTTACATTCATCATTTTCTAAAAGCTCATGAACTTCATTTTTGGTTACTGAAGTTTGTCTCCCTTTGGCAAAAATAAAATTCTAATAGCATGAGAAAGAAACAAATTGTTCAGGGTTTTCTGGTATAGCCAGCAATCAAACTATTTGTTTTCAGAAAAGGCATTTTTTTGAAAAATGATCACCAACTATTTGACCAATTTTTCGCAAAACATTTTCATTCCACATCAAAAAAAACGTACATAACATTTTTTCTGAACCAAGTTAAGAAGAACTCAAGCCAAGTGTCAAACGAAAAACTATCATGGAAATCATTTAAGTTCTCTTGAATCATGTCTTTGCGCAATATTAGTAACTATTTTCATTGTCAAAATAGGTCCAATTTCATCACTGCCACAAACTTTGAAAAAAATTTGTTCATGTATATCAAATGTCATGAGAAAAGCATTTGTTTTCAAAATTTCAGATTTTGCATCAACGATAACAATTCCGATTTCAGTGCAAAAAAAAACTCTCGTTATGCATGCCTTTTCTCGTTATGTCAGAAAAAAGACTTGTAAGCCACCTTGAACAGCGCTTCGAGAAAACAACTTTGATAAATGTGGATCCGAAAAACCGACAAACTAGAAAAAACCTATACTGCTTATTGCTGAAATGGTTCCACTGTGACTCTATATATCCAACTATTCTGAAAAAGACTCACACGTTATCTCGACGCCGTCTGCGCATACCTAAATCTTAAGATTATAAGCTTAATAAAGCAAATCATGAGACAGAGGCGAAGCGGAGCATCTCATCAGTTGCGATACAACACAAACAAAAAAACAAGTCGAAAAAAATCTAGTTTACATTCAGTAAAATAGGCGAAATTATGTTTGAACATAATTCTTTCAAATACTGTAAAACCATCAGCATGGGAATTTTTCTCTTATATGTGGGTTACCAGACATGAAAAACTACTTCTTCCAGCTTTGAGAAAAAAACAAACCCTTGGGTCCTTGTTAAACACCAGTATGGGCATTACACTATTGTGCCTGCAAAAACATCTCTTGTAATTCAATTAGTTATTGAATAGCTCGCTCTCAAAAATCTTCTAGATAAAACTAAATTGACTAAAATTACACCTTTGTGTGAGAAAAAAGGGATACCGAGG